CAGCAGAACCTAAAGATGATCAGAGATAAAAACAGAAACTCAAACAGTGAATTAATAGAGAAGCTTTACTAAAGACAAGAGTGGGATGAAGGAGATTATCCGATCACACAGATACATCATTTGTGAGCTGGGATAACATTCAAACAACCCAATTCTCTTGAGGGATCATCAGAACTTTAGAGGGTGGAATACTCAGAGGAGGTGCCAGTCACTAAAAAAGCAATAATCTCAGGTCTAGCTCTTCTCTCAAGACAAAAGCCATGGAATCTTACCTAGGAACTGGAAATTGCACAGAATTCTGTTAAGAAAAAAATAACCCCATCTGCATTTAACATTGGTCAAAGGCAAGTTGAGATACAAATAGCAACCGATACCTGAACAGGGATGGTTTTGTATTTTACCTTAAACAAAACAAACAATTTTAAAACGTTAAAGCAATTCTTAGCCCTCAGCTCCATGAAATTCACTGGTCCCTAGGAAAGGTGACCCATTCTGATATTCATAAAATGCTGACGTCTGGAGAGACTAGTTTTAGACTTTATAGCACTGCATAAAACAGAACTAACAGCGTCTCTTACAACAAATGCCTGTAATCTGGAAAACAGATCCAGAAAAGGTAGAATTGCCTAAGGGAAAAAACTAGCTTTATTTCTTATCTGTGCAATTCTCCCATCGAATAGGTTTGCTACAGAAGTGCTAACAATCTACTAACATCATCCAACCGGAGAAGAACTGGCTACTCTAGGTTGTCCTCTTTCAAGACCACTCTAAGGTGTAGGTGTAACTGGCAACCTGTGAATTACAGGTTGAATCTTCAAACTAAGTCTGAACTAGTTAGCTGCCTTTAAGCAGTCAGGCATCTGTGCAAAGTAATCAAAATGCAAATTTATTTATAATGTCAATTAAACCAATTATTTTATTTTAAAAAAGAAATGCTATCCCCAGGATACTCTTTGTACATATCTGGGAAAGTTCTGTCAAACTGGAAAAGTTCTGTCAAACACAGAATATTGCAGAGCCAAATAAAAACTTAAAGAGACACTTCCCTGCCCATGTTACCACCAGTTGAATTACCCTTCTTAACATAATGTCTTAACTTTCATTAGGAGGTTTCTTACTCAGATATCTCCAAGGTTAAGAGGATTGGAAAGATTCATCTTTTCTCTGGCCATCTAATCATTAAAGCTGAGAATAACAAAGTTAGTCCATTCCAGAAACACCAGTAACTCTTTCATTTCCAGGAGAGGGTACAATTACACTGCCATTGTTCTTCATTTGCTTCAGTTATGACAGGAAAATCAATGCTAATTTGAACATAATATTACATTGCTTACTGTCATTAGGCCTAACGTGCTCTGCAGAGCTCCAGTGAAATATAGCCAACATTTTTTCACTGTTACCACTAAGAAAATATAACCATATTTCATATAGGACATTTTCAGGCAAATGTCAATAGCCTAGGCAGAAGAAATAATTACAAATAAACTATTCTATTTTCTTTACTATGTTAATGGCTTTTAAATCTTATATTTGTAAAACAATTTCTCTACCACTGTGGTCAAAAGCAAGTAATTTAAAAATCATTTCTGACAGCAGCAAAGGATGAGGCTTAATAGTGCTACCTACAAGCACATACAGGATTTCCAAGGTAATTACTTCTGAAAGCATACTATTAAAAGGTGCAATTTATACCTTTCTTCTTCTACGTGCAAACGACTTGCAAAGCCTCCCACTCCGCAGAGTGGAACTGAACAGCATTCAGAGAGCAAAGAACAGTTATTAATTACGCTTCAAAAAAAAATCTGTCAGTTTAAAAATACAACAAAAAACAACAGTGCGACAGAAAATGTATGTAACTCAAGTTTTCCCTTTTAGATTGGTTGGTTGCTTTTTTTTTAAAAAGAGACTTCATGTTCCCCGTGTGTTTTTATCAGGAAAGCAGCATAATTTACTAAGCCTTGCTGGTTTGCCCAGATAACAGAAACACTGCAGATCAGGCGGGATTAGCATGCGCTGGATGAACGGTGTGGGGAGACTTGCTTACTGTGTCACTGCTAGCTAATACAGCACTTGCTTCATGCCACTGATACTATTTTTTACTGTCCTAAACTCACTCAAATATTGCTTTAGTTACAAAAGCTCTAAAATCCTCAAAGGAGCTCTCCTTTCTCTTCAGTTTATAAGTGGAGAGAGAGCCCCTTATAAACCAAACATTCCCAAAACTTGCAATTTTTGTCCTTTCAAAAAACTCTACCTTCTAAATAATACTGAGAAAAGATGGAATGCAAAATCAGAATTGCAAGAGGTTCCTAGAGAACCAAAACAAAGCTATTTTTGACACCTACGAAGGAAGGGGCCCACAAAGCTAAGAAGAAATATTAACTGTACGCAGACTGCAGAAAAAGAGGTTGACGGAGAAAGCTCAAAGCATCTGCAAAGAAGGCTAACAGCCTAGCGAACAGCAGACCCCTCAAACTTAAGTGTCATGCAAGAGACAAGCTCAGCTAGCCCATTTTCTCACGGCAGCATCTGTGCCTCACACGTTCGCATCACAGGGCAGAAGCTTATCGCACACTCAGCAGCGTTGTGGCGAGACAGGATTTGCTACCAGCTGCTTCTGGCAAGGGAGGTCTATGGGCAAGCAGAGAAGTCACAGTGCAATGCTGCAGCCAGGCTGGACATCTTCTGGTGAGGTCCCATGCTGAAGAGAGACTTGGCTATAAATGCCGTTCCCAAATTGCCTCAGAAACCTTTTCCCATCACGAGACTAGCCAGGCACCCAGCTCAGTTTCTCCCCAGCCAGACACACATCGCTATCCCGTGATCAGACATTTACAGTGCTGTGTAAGACAAGATACGGAAGCTGAAAGGTCTAGAAAAATGCCATACAAATTCCTGCAAAGTCAGTGAAGACACCCTTAAAAACTTCAGTATAAACAACAGTTTAATCTGGAGAATTCCACAGCATTAGGAAATTTTTAATCCATTTTTGTCTTGCATTGCTTAGGTTAAAAGCCCATAAAAACTAACGAGAACCTCCTTTGAGTACTAATACCATAAAACCCTTTTTGCTGTTACGGATTATTTCCAGGTAGCTTATAAAACGAGTGAGGGGCTGAACAGGCATGACCAGACACCTAGCAATATCTTCACAAAGTGGCATTCATCAACACCTGGAGGACAAAGTCTCCACTGAAGCTGCCCGCGGGCTTCTGCAGCAGACAGTCGTGGTCAGGCAGGCCTCGCTGGTCTCGTACCCTGGCCTCACGAAAATTACGCAGATCATGAAATACCACTCGACAAAATAGTTCAATTGCCTGATGCAAAACCTATTCCAATGGCTAATTAGGTTAAATGCTTCAGTAGGGATAATAGAGAGGTCCGTAACTAGCTTTTCTGACCACAGACATAAATGAATAAATAAGCAAAAACAATTGATGCTCTGTTTCCAGGTAAGCATCTGCTTCTATGTGTCTCCTTGTCCCCCTGCTTTCTCGCTTCAGGAACAAGAATTTTGCCGCTGATAAATTCGTGTTTTCATAAACCCTGTATCACAGACGGCACGTAGAAGACAATCCTGTATGGAGTACAAGGAAGGAGAAAGAAAAGTTTGAGAGAGACCTCTGCGCTGTTAAATGAGTATAAAATCAGGTTACTTTAGGATAAGAACATCTATTCACATTCAACGTATTGTTTCTAACAACTCTGCCTATTTGCAGTATCATTTTTGTGAAAGAAATTGTAAGGATTTATTTTTCAAGATCAGTGATTTTGTACAGACATAGCTGCTATTACTCTATTACTAGACATAGGAATAATCATTTTACGCTACAGTGCATTGTCTCAAAAAAATCCACAACATAAATTGGAACATACATGCCACCTGAAAAATGATCTGAAAAACGGTCAGAAAAATGGCCATTTACTAACAGTGAAGTTAACTGATCCCTCAGCTATTTCCTCCTCAGGTTTTGGACACCTTCAATAACAACATTACAATACTTTTCATCCACAGACCTCAAAGCATTTGACAAGTTAGGTAGGTCTTACAGGGCAGACACAAAGGCACGGAGAAATTAAGTGACTTACTCAAAATCACACATCAGTGAGAAGCAGAGCCAGAAATAAAACAGAGAACTAGCTATACTTACCCTTGCACAATAGTGTCCAGGAGAAAAGCGTATACAAGCTCTACATGCATGCATTAGAAAAGAGAATCTATTTTTAACCCACATCCTTCTCCTAACTCCCCCACTCACTATTTATCTTAGAGTAGTCACATTCTGTGGTTTCAAAAGTAGTTGTTAATTTAGAACCAAGGAAATTCTCCAAATGTAGGATCTGATGCTTGCCAGAATTCAACTCCATTTCAAAATTCGCATCTAAGAACATTTCACATAATGCTGCCACTTTGGAGGATAAGTGGTTCATTAAATGGCTTCACTTTTCTGAAATTCCCCTTTTCCTATAGAATTAGAAAGTAGCTAAAAATTAAATTGCACGGTTTCATCTGCAGAGGTAAAGCCTGGCATTTAGAATACCAAGAAGGATGGTATTGCGTTATTGTAGAATGCTGAACTGCAAACCTGATTTAACCTAGTTCTTCCACGCTAATAGCCCTTTCAGAATGAAACACTCTGTCCATCCCATAAAAGTCCACTGATAAAACCGACAAGCATGAAATTTGGCTCACCTTG